ACCGGACTGGTACTTTCTAGACTCTCCCTTGACTGTATGACGACGACCCTACGACGCAGTGCAATTGCACCGGGGTCCTACTATTTGACCTTGCCACTTGTCCTCATCTCCAACATGGGCTTGCTTTAGTCACACCACTTGCCCACTTGCCTGCACCACTTGACCACTTGCCTGCACCTCTTGACCACTTGCCTGCACCACTTGACCACTTGCCTGCACCACTTGACCACTTGCCAACCTTCTAGAAGGACTGCAGCTAGCCTTCTAGTCTATAGGTCTAYGGATCGAATCCTGGCTACCTATAGACCTACGACAGACCTACCTACYRCTGGYGGTTCTACAGGTCGCAGGTTCAACTCTTCGAGTTGACGCAGGTATTGTACACAGGTAAGTTGGGGAACTAGGGATCGAGCCCTGGGATCTACCTCAGCTACCACGAATTGGTGAACCATTACTCTTTTGACATAAACAAACAAACAAACAAACAAACAAATAAATAAATACATAAATAAATAAATAAATAAACAAATAAATAAATGAGAGTGATGGCGGCAAGAATCATTGCAAAGAAATGAGCCTTTGGCATGCTGGAAAAAGGCCCTTCCCGCCCTAAGAGAAGGCGGGTCTGCAAATTTTAGCCTTGGCCTTACTTCAGTCCTCCCACCATGATCTACAGATCTATAGCACTATAAAGTCTATAAACAAGTTATAAGAATTGATAGGACTATATGACCATAGCGAGAGGAAACTGTGTTACAGGGGCCAGTGGGTTGATTGCTGCACGCAGCATCTCCAATCAACCGGTAGGGCTCAAGCTTCGGTTGGTTGAAGATGCTGAGGCCCAGGGCCTTACAGTCGAGCCCCGCACGTATTCTTTTTTTTTTCTTTTTTTTTCTGGCACAGATTCTGGAAGGGGCCGAGGGCGCTGCTACTGGAACAGGGGCGCAGACATGCCGTTCACGCCATGAGCCAGTCAGCACAAAAGGAAGTGAGCCTTGCTCACTGGGGACATTCTAACTGGCTGGATGCGGCAGCGCTGCTGAAGCGCTAGCTGGTGCGAACGAGCGCCAGACCAGAGGATAGAAGGGCACTGGCGCGGCACGAGGAAGCTGCTGGGCGAAGCGAGCAGGACAACGCAGCAGCCGTAGCCAGGTTGCTGGCTGCCATAGCCGGAGGAGGAAGGTGGTGGTCTTTGGGCGGAGGGGACTGTGGAAGAAGTCGGGTAGAAGAGGAGTGTGGCAAGGCACTCTTCTGGTGAGGGAGAAGCGGGCCGTTCACACGGAGTCTTCATGCGTTCATCGGGCGGACGATCTTCGTTGTCCAACTGTTGTAGACAGGAGTCCAGGTCGTAGGAGCTGTCTTTCGGTAGTGTGGGCGCCGAGCGCCAATATAGATGAGCTACATTGTTGACATTGGTGATTGGAAACAAGAAGAGGGCTTTCATTATCATGCGACTTCAATGCTTTGCTCGTACTTATTCGGTGTTATCTTGGTTCGGAATCTGCTTTCAGTTCAGGCTTAAACTTAATATCTGGATGTCTGTGTACTATGGAAAACTCCGTCTGATTTTAAAGTAGTGCGATCGAATTCAAATATTTCTCCTAATTGAGCACGTCGAGCATATTTTTTCACAGTAGCAGGATCACTAAAGCTTACACTATCCAATTCACCACCAGTGCAATCTGGTGGTGTATTGTCGTTCGCATTGCTGATTTCCTTGCATCATTGCCAAAATGCAAATCGATGGGAAAAGGACATCTTGTTGAAGAACATTTCAGAAACACAGGAGCACGAGGTAACAATAAAATGACAATCAGATTACGCCGTTACGGGTGGGCAATTAACCACCGGTACCTACCGGGTTCTTAGGCCCGCTTTGGTGCAAATGAATACAGACACGCAGGGTAGGCTGATTCATCCGCCTCGTTCACGCCTAAAAACGCACTAGGTACTGGTGGGCATTGAGAGCAAATTTATACAACGAGTGGGAGGAGGCGCAGGTGATCACCACTAGGAATTTCAGAGAATTAAACCACCAGTTACTTCCAAGCCTCTTTTTCCCAATCCCCTTTCCTAGTGGTGTCTCGCCCTTGGCTGCAGTTGATCAATCAGTCCTGCAAAAAAAAGGATGGGTAAATAATCTCAGTCATCATTTTGACACTCCATCATGGGCACAAGGCCCTCTGCATTTTTGTTTTCTGTTTGAAGACTCTGAACAGTTCCTTATGGTCCTGGCTCCTTGTCGATTCTGGGAAGTGTCAGTCTCGTTCCTTTCTTTCTTTCTTTCTTTCTTTCTTTCTTTTTTTTGTAATGTTTTGTTCCTTTCCACCGGCAAGACGAAAAAAAGCCTCCTTCCATCTAGGCAGACGGAGCCCTGATCAGCAAAGTAGTAAGGGTCCCAGTGGCACACCCCATTACAGGGCCGCGCCTGATCGGGACAGAGAAGTGCGGTGGAGAAGAAGCGCCAGCGTGCAGCTGGGCCAAAAAGGTTTCGGAAGAGAAGGCCCGGTTGAAGGAATCTGGCCACACAAAGGGGCTAGAATATTAAGAAAAAGGGATGGATGGGTCTGGGGCCCTGAGTTGCTCGCTCTTGGGATTGCATGCCCACAGGACTTTAACACCCCCCCTCCTCAAGGGGGGAGTGAACAACTGATGCTAAGTGGCTGTCGGTCAAGGACTCTTAGGATCAGAGAGAGAGAGAGAGAGAGAGAGAGAGAGAGAGAGAGAGAGAGAGAGAGAGAGAGAGAGAGAGAGAGAGAGAGAGAGAGAGATGCTTGGGGAAAGTGGTGATCTAAGCCCTTGGGCACTTTGAGGATAAGCCATGGTGGGCTCCTGAATTTGAGGCAGCAAGAACAAGGGGGCAGCAGCACTTACCTCTTCTCAGTTTGCAATGTTTTTCTTAATAGTAATCAATGTAGTACTCTCACGTGAACATCGTTGATGTTGTTGGCGCTCTTTTTTTCTTTCTTCTTCTTCTTTTTTTTTTTTTTTTTTTTGTATAGGGCTGCGCCGCACTCTGCTCCAGTGCAATACAGAGGCAACACTGGAGGGGTCGAGTAAGCAAGCTTACTCGTACGACCTCTCCGTGGCCCAGAAAAAAATAATTTAATATCGTGTGGTGCGATGGACCACGGATCAGATATTAAACTGATCAGAACAAAAAGAGTAGCCCGTCTTTTCTGGTGGGCAGCTGCTTGTCAAAGTTTTTGAAGTTTCTCTTGTTGGTTGGTTTGCTTTCATGCAGGAAAATTTTGAGCAAATGCAACGAGAGGACTTCCGCGTTGAGTTGGCCTTAGTGGAAAGGGTAAGCGGGCAATTTGGCTGAATTGCCTGAAGGATTTTCAAGGAAAAGGGGTCTTTCAGAACTCTGCACTTACTATTGTATCATTTACGCTTTTGCTGGTTCGCCAAATCCAATCATTTTAATTCATTTATGCTTTTTTTTTTTTTTTGCATTTATTTACACTCCTTCCCTGCTCGTTCTTCTCCTTCCACGCACCTTAAGGGGTCATAACGAGGGTCAAGCGAGGTGCATGGAAGGAGAAGAACGCGCAGGGGAGAAGCGTAAATAAATAATTTAAATAAATGAAAAAAAAAAGAAAAAAAAGAGAATCTCTCTCTCAAGGGTCAAGAGTCTGAACTATGAAAATTTTGATATTATTATATTAAACATGCCCTCCGCCTTCTGGTATTGGTATTATACTATTATCTTTTCGTTTCAGGCTCCACAGAAGAATACACATTGAGTTTCTGATTACTTATTGGGGCTTGCTCCTACAGAACACTCTACATGTAAACGGTCTAAAATGGCGACCACATACATCCGTACCTATCCAGCTTCCAGAATGTATAGGGGCAAGAAAGAGAGGTCCAGATGCATTTTGAGTGGTGTGTAGTGGAGCGAGGCCCATGACTTCGCCCATTCTTCAGACGTAGGGAGACCTCGTAGTAAAACGGCGATGTGGCTTTGGTCCTGTCTCCCCCTCGTTGCTTTTTAAAATTTAGTGAAAAAAAAACTAGTCTACATTCTTCTCTCCATTATACCTCCCACAACATGCCTAGCTATATCAGCATTGAGAACTCATCCAGATATCTTGATATTTCACTACCGTCTTCACCCGAATAGAGCGCCCGGTCATTATAGCTGTATTTGGCACAACTTTCAGCCCGATACTGCGATAATTACCGGGCGTTCTATTCGGGTGAAGACGGTAGGGTCGGACCTAACCCCACAACCTGCCTACCTATATCAGCACTGAGAACTCATCCAGATATCTTGATATTCCACTACCGTCTTCACCCGAATAGAGCGCCCGGTCATTATAGCTGTACTTGGCACTACTTTCAGCCCGATACGGCGATAATTACCGGGAGTTCTATTTGGGTGAAGACGGTAGGGTCGGACCTAACCCCGGGTGAGGGATGGGAGGGGCAAAGGGATAACCCCTACTGAGACCAACCAGGGGTGCAAGCCGGCTATCTCCACTGGTGAACCTGCAGCGCCCCGCAGGAGGCCGTGGGGAATCAAACCCCCACGACCTCCTCACCGCTGCTTTTGTGCTTTACCAACTGAGCTAAGCCGCTGGCTCCCCCTCCTTGCTTTTTCTTTTTTCCCTTCTTATTCTTTTTTTATCCCTTAGTTAATAAGGAAGGAGGAAAACTGAGCAGCTCACCTCTTCGCTGACTGAGACTCCGTTGACCTGATGTGTTGACCTTGACCCCCTAAACTGCCATTTCGTCAAAATGGACATCTTTTATTTTTTGAACGAAATTGAAACCGAGTTTTTTGGCCGAAAACTCGTCAAAATTTGTTGTTCCTGAGGATCCGGCGTTTGTAAAACGCTGGACCCCCTGGCTGTACATGGACCTAGCTTGAGACCAGGTACCTCCAGGCAGTCCTGCCTGGGGGTGCCTGGTCTCAAGCTAGGTCCATGTACAACCAGGGGGTCCAGCGTTTGTAAAACGGTGGACCCTCAGGAACAGCAAATTTTGACGAGTTTTCGGCCAAAAAACTCAGTTTCAATTTCGTTCAAAAAAAAAAAAATGTCCATTTTGACGAAATGGTCATTCCTAGACCGGTGATCTGTTGACCCATTCTGTTGTCTGAGCGGCACACCTTTTCGCTGACTGGGACTACGTTGACCTGATGTGTTGACCTTGACCCCCTCGACCGGTGATCTGTTGACCCATTCTGTTGTTAGCCTCCAGTAACCGACACTCTGTTGACCCTCAAGGTTGACCTTTTCTCTTGACTGACAGTCCGTTGAGGCTGTCCGTTGACCCACTCCGCTGGCAGCCTCCATCGACGGACAGTCTGTTATCCCTCCAGGTTGACCTCCGCTGGCTGACATTCTGTCCGTTGACCCACTCCGTTGGCCCTCTTTGCTGACCGACACTCCTTTGACCATCCCATTAACTGACACTCTGTTGACCCATTCGGCTGGCAGCCTCCATCGACTGACGGTCTGTTATTTCTCCAGGTTGACCTTCGCCGGTGGCTGACATTCCGTTTACCCTCCCTGTTGACGCAGTCTGGACTTCTCTGCCGACGGACACTCCTTTGACCCTCATTACATTTAGTGACACTCGAATGACGCCCACTCCGTTGGCAGCCTCGTTGACTCGCACTCTGTTTGCTGGAACTCTCCTTCAATCGACACTCTCGTTGACTGACCCATCCACTGACCCTATCTGCACCCAGTCGGTTGATGATGACCATTTGGCTGCCACTCCGTTGACCTTCTCTGTCGACTAACACTCATTTGACCCTCACATTAATTGACACTCGGTTGACCTACTCCATTGGCAGCCTGGTTGACAGGCACTCTGTTTGCTGGCCCTCCCTCTCCTTCTACCAATACTCTGGTGGACTGGCCGTCTACTGACCCTATCTTGACCCACTCGGTTGATGATCTCCATTAACTGCCTACTAGTTGAAATTGAAATATTTTGCTGGCGTGACGAAATTGAGTTTCCCCCCCCCCCCCCCCCAGCTATTTGGACCAGATTTTGGATGTATCACGGACCCCGTACCTTCAGAGGTATTAGCATATGTTCATTGGAGGATGATCAAACCGCAACATGGTCAGTTCACTTATCGGAGGATGATAAAATTGCAATACCCTTCGAAGCTCAATTTTGTCACGCCAGCAAAATATTTCAATTTTAACTACTAAAAGCCGCTTCATTGACTGACACTCCGTTGACCTTCTCTGCCGACTAACACTCCTTTGACCCTCACATGAACTGACACTCGTTTGACCCACTCCGTTGGCAGCCTCGTTGACTGGCACTCTGTTTTTTTGCTGATACTGCGACTTCGTATTCTGTTGTCTCTTGCTGTGTTTAGAGACGTCGTGTTCTGCATGGTGTGTCTCAATCACTTCGTGTTATGGCATGATGCGTATTTGGCATGTATCTGTTTCTTCTCTCACTCTGTTTGCTGGCCCTCTCCTTCTACCAATACTCTTGTTGACCGACACTCTACTGACCCTACCTTGACCCACTCGGTTGATCCTCTCCATCAACTGACACTTCATTGGCCCTCTCTGTTGACTGACACTCCGTCGACTCGCTATGTTGACGCGCGCGAATGGTGCTCTGACGATTGGCAGTCTGCTGACCGTCCTTGTTGACTGAAACTGTCTTGACAGGCACAAAGGATGAAGGACTTGCGGCGGGTGCGTGCCACACACGATATGAAGAGTGGAATCGACTCGTTTGAGAGAAATGCCAGAAGAATTGGGGTGGAATTTGAGAAAGGGGAAGGCCTGCGTGCGGGTGACAAAATCATCATGCTAAAGGACTCCTCGCCACTTCTACTCTTAAAAGCTATCCAAAGGAAATTGCCAGACCCAATTCAGTTCATCAAGGTGGGGATCTCTCATTCCTTTTTTCGTTTTCTTGGGACTTTCTTTTTCGGATTTTCTTTCTTCTTAAACCAAAAGAGTCTTGTTTCCCAAAGCTGTTGTTGTTGTTGTTGTTGTTGCTGTATTTAACAAAGAAAAAAGAAAAAAGCATGAAATGCGGTGTTGTTGTTGTTGTATTATACAAAAAAAGGAAACCATTCGTCAAGCATCATGTCGTGATCACAACAATAATAGTCTAAAACGTTTTGTTGTTCTCATCGTCGTCGTCGTCGTCGTCGTTGTTCTTATCGTCACCGTCATCGTCTCCGTCGTCGTCGCCATCGTTGTTCGTTGTTGTTTTTGTCATTGTTGTTTGTTGTTGTTGTTGTTGTTGTTGTTGTTGTGGTTGTGGTTGTGGTTGTGGTGGTGGTGGTTGTCATCGCTGTTGTTGTTGGTGTTGTTGTTGTCGTTGTTGTTCATGGTGGTGGTGCCGATGGTGGGGGGTTTCGTAGTTTTGGTTTAGGGTTGTTGTTGTTGCTGTTGTTGTTATTTTTAACCCCAAAAAAAAGAAACGATTTTTTCAAGCATCTTGTTGTTATTACAAGTGGACCCGCCGCAGCGATGCCGCGGGAGATGAAGAGGGGGGAGGGAAGAAGAGCGGGAAGAAGGAAAGCGAATGTAGAGGGAAAGACAGCGTGCGGCCACTGCATCTCTCTCTCTCTCTCTCTCTTTGTGTGTGTGTGTGTGTGTGTGTGTGTCCCTATCTCCAGTACTCCGAATCACGAGAGAGGAGGATAGCAGGTCGTCGTCGAGGATGTAGATGTGTTCAACTGTTGTGATCACAGCATGCGCTGAAAAATAAAAATAAAAATAAAATGATCACAGTTTTTGTGATCATGTGTGGCCGCAAAAAAACAGAGCGCAGAAGCAGCGTTTATCTCATGCAGAGAAAGAGAGAGGGAGAGAGAGAGCTGGCCGGCCAGCACTCCCCCCTTCGGCTGTTTTTCTTCTCTCCCCTTCTTCGTCGTCCTCCCTTATCGTCCCTCCTGGCTTCGTCCTCCATTGCCTCCTCCCTGGCACACATGGAAATGTCGATAAGATATCCGGAGTGTACATAAGTATCCATGTACAGATCTCTCTCTCTCTCTCTCTCTCTCTCTCTCTCTCTCTCTCTCTCTCTCTCT